CAGAGCTCTGGTTTTCAAATTCACTGTTATTTACACTTTCAAAAGGTGTTTCTCCTATTCCATTTTCAATGTCACTTTCATTTGAATCGCTATCACTGTCAGAATTGTTTGAAATATTGGACACTGAAGGCTGAACCAAACTTTCCAGGTATCTGAATGCCATGCTTTCAATGTTGAGATTCAAAAATGTGTAGCTCGCGTGTTTCTCAATGTATTTCGTTCCGGTAAAAAGGAAGAGGAAGTAGAGCTTTTCTACTTTCCAACTATAGCTTGTTTACCATTTTAAACCAAACTTTTATGGTCCAATACATCGTTTATTTGCTATGTGTATAGAGCCGGCGATGGCGGGCTACAGCGGGCGATACGGTATAAAACGCTATCGGGCGATGGCGGTGGATACGGGAAGTTACTGGTTAAGTGTGTCATTTTATGGGGTCGACTTATTAGCAGGTTATAAACTTTTCAAGCTTTTCTCGACCAAAACTAGTTTATTAAAGAACAGACTTTAGATCCGGTTAATACAGTTTAAAATCATTGTGCTTTTACAAATATTTTAATTTCTATAAATGAAAGGAAGTGGCCCACTCTGCAGACTGGGGGAAGGCAATGTAAAATGCAAAGACACATTTTTAGCCATAACAATTTTGATCGTTATCATATTAAGTTTATGAGCAAGAATAATATAAATAAGGGATTTGCATTCTGATAGCTTCCAGGCAAATAAAAAGTTGATCGATTTGTTTAAGTTAAAAATTACTGGGTCAAATGGACTCACACTTGCTTTCTACAATAGCTTCTCATCCTTGTATAATCAAATAAAAAATGAATACAAAATATGTCACCTTGAGCTTTTCATCATGGCAGCTTTTGGCCAATTCAAAGTTCTTCTTCATTTCATTTAGGGCTATTTCCTGGTAGGACAAAAGTAAGTTAATTACATCTAACTCAGAGGTATAAATTGAAGTGAATAGATTGAATCTAATACAGGGGTAGCAACTGAAGTAAATTCAAGTAAAATTAAGTGATGGTTGCATTAAACAGTAACGTAATTTTGTTGACTGGTTTAAAAAAAATAATAACTTAGACTACTAGCATTTTACATCAACAAAAAAATAATTTTTTTGCTAAATCTTATCTTGTTAAATTAAATCTTATAGCAAAAGAAATTCACCACATTTGTTAAACTGTACTGTAAACCAGTTGACCCGATTTCAAGTTTTGGGTTTGTAGAAAGGAAGAACCAGAGCCTTAATTTCTACCCTAACAATAATTACAGTACCGGTACAAACCTTTGTTTTAACAAACTCGTCCAACTCAATGGTTCTTGTGTGGTATGCTTCCAATAAGTTACTTTTCTTCTTGTTTTCTTTGGTAAGTGCTGTGTATTTGGTAAAAGGAACACACAAAAATTAAAATTCTGTCTTGACCAGACAGACTTGAAATAATCTACTGCATCAATGGCACATCCTAACATTGACGTCATCTACTGGATCAATAGCACAATCAATATCCACTTTATAAAAATATCTTCAAATCAGCATTGAATATTACTGACAATCTTTGGTTCAGCCCAGAAAATACTTAGGTTACAATTACGTCACACACACAGAATCTTATGGTTGGCAAAAGTTGTCACTAGGCTATAAATTATTGTGATGTCTAGCGTGTTCATTTGGGAAAACATAAAGTAACAGTATGCTAATATTATGAAAAATTGTGCTGATATTTTTATTATAGCCTTTCGAAAATACTTAGGAATCATGAATTTCACAGATATTTAGGTGACAGAAATAAAAGCTTTTTATAAACTGTCACAATGTCATGCTAATTATGATCATAAATATATGTCAGTCTTCAGAAGCAGATTCCCTCTAAACCACTCTTACGAACTGCATGGCCATATTCTTGAGCCAGTTTCTTCCGTAAAGTACTTGGGTGTTACTATTCAAAGAGAGGTCCGCTGGGACAAGCACATTAACAGTGTGTGCAACCGGGCAAACAAGACCCTGGGGTTCCTAAGGCGCAATCTGAAGATCGGAAACTCAAGCGTGAAAGAAAAAGCCTATAAAGCCTTTGTCCGGCCTATTTTAGAGTACGCTTCTACAGTCTGGGACCCAATTACCCAGAAAAGCATCGACAGGTTGGAGGCGGTCCAGCGACGGGCAGCACGCTTTGTCATGACCGCTACAGAAACACCTCAAGTGTTGGCAGCATGCTAGAAACACTGGGCGGGTCTACACTGGAAGAACGACAGCGCCGATCCAGGCTCACCATGTTGTACAAGATAAAAAATGGGCTGGTCCACTGCTCCGGAATCAAACAGAAACTCGTTCATCTTCCCCCTAGACTGCGAAGAAGCCACGACAGACAGTTACGGCTGGTAAAAACAAGAACAAAGTACAGGAGCTCCTCATTCCTGCCGAAGACAATAGGGGACTGGAACAAGCTTCCAAAAGCAACAGTTGAGGCGGCTACACTCGACACATTTGTGTCTATTGCCTCCTGTATTCCAACCCCCAGTTCATAACACCACTGCCGAGTCGCCCTTGCAACCAGTGAAGCATCCCATTGAAACCCATGCACAGTAACACCCCAAACCCCTCTGAAACATAGGAGCCAGAATGATCAATTCATTGATCGTGGGCCCTCAAAATAAAGAAGAAGAAGATGTACAATTTAGATGGAACCAACTCCCACTTCCAGGCAAACACACACCCTTAAACTTAAAATCTCCTAAATCAACAAACCCTCCCACCAACTTAATACAATTGTATGTTCTTTATACCAGCAATATCCAACTTAATACAATTGTAGGTTCTTTATACCAGCAATATCCAACTTAATACAATTGTAGGTTCTTTATACCAGCAATATCCAACTTAATAAAAATGTTCGTTCATCGCACCAGCAACTTCCAACTATATTCAACAGTCTGTTACACCTACCGGCAATCTCCACTTTGAGTGCGTTGATCAAGTAGGATTCCTCTATCTTATTGGCTGATGTGGTTCTGCTGTGGTGAAGCTTCTCCTGACACTTTTGATGGAACTCTTGCATCAGCAGAACCTCTTTCTGAAGCTGAAACACCTGTTGGTCAAAGGGGCATAAGCCGTACTCATTTGTTATTTTTAATTACTTTGGAAAGCAATGAATAATAATTATTATAATTTAAAAAAAAACGACTATTCCAATATCTTTGGGTGGGTGTGGAAAAAAGGGTGGGGGAGGGGTGTGTGTTCATGTTAAAAATATCCATAATTTTTAAATTGAAAGGATTATTAAAATTCTTGGGATCCCCAATTTCCTAATAGGCAATGCCTCCCCACCCGCCTCAAAGGGGCACCTAACTGACTTCATCATATGCTTGCAATAGAGGCAAAGCAGTTTGCAGATGAGAGCCTGCTGGTAAGCTCTTCTTGCTTGCGGTTTAGACTGATCATTTAAAAGCAATTTATTTTTCTTGTAGCCGAAACATAGAAATAAAAAAAAAAAAGCATTGAACAGGACGACCTGTTGTAGATATTGGTCAAACCCCAGCTAATATATGGTTGTACATATTGGTCGAGACCACCTATTATAAGGTTGTACATATTAGTCAAACCCCACTTAATATATGGTTGTACATATTGGTCAAACCTCACCTATTATAAGGTTGTACATATTAGTCAAACCCCACTTAATATATGGTTGTACCTATTGGTCAAACCCCACCTATTGTAAGTTTGTACATATTAGTCAAACCCCACTTAATATATGGTTGTACATATTGGTCAAACCCCACCTATTATATGGTTGTACATATTGGTCAAACCCCACCTATTGTAAGTTTATACATATTAGTCAAACCCCACTTAATATATGGTTGTACATATTGGTCAAACCCCACCTATTCCTACTATTGGGGGAAGCTCAATTAACTGAATGAGATGACCCATAAGTTTATTTAAATCAGTCCAACCAGCCCATCTAATCCCACTCTCAGGGGTAAATTGTATAAAACTTGTTAGGACAAACAAAATTTAATAATACTTAAAATAAAATTGATGATGTCAAAAAATATGTCCAAAATATTAGTTTAATTTATTCAACATCAAAGACAATACATTTTTGTTTGTCTGCCCTGGTCTGCAAATCAAGGCAATCCTTTCAATTTGGAAATATATTTTGTAGTCTTTACAGTTTTAGCTTCCATTCCGAGTCAATGCCTACACCAGTGATTGTGAACCTAATAGAGACAGAGTACCCAAACTGCAACCCAGAGACGCCACTTATTTAATGCAAAGTGCCAACAGTGTCACAGAGCCCTTGCCACCCACTGCCCTAATGACAGAGCTAGTCACCCACTGCCCTAATGACAGAGCTAGCCACCCACTGCCCTAATGACAGAGCTTGCCGCCCATGCTCTAATGACAGAGCTAGCCAACCACCGCCCTAATGACAGAGCTAGCCACCCACTGCCCTACTGATAGAGTTTGCCACCCCATGCCAAATTGAAAGAGCTTGCCCCAGCAAAATATTTAACTAGTAACTGAAATTTGAAAGTGGGTCCTTGTTAAGAACCAGTTGGAGCTTGTTCAGACCGGGTGGACCACAAGCTAAGAGTAATTGCAATTAGTTTTGTTTCCTCAAATAATCACAGAATAATGCATCAGGAAATTAAATTCTCTTGTCAATAAATAATTGACTTTTGCCAAATTACAGTTGCTAGGGGGCAGTAAGCAAGGGATAGTGCCACTGATTGTGTACATTTGAGATAATTGTACATTTTACATTCAGGGCACGAGGGTTATCTTTTGTTAGCTAGCATGTGAATGACACCAACCCTCTACCCCTCACAGCACTTCCACAAATAATTTGAAATATACACCTTTAACAGCTGCATATTTGCATGCCAACTTTATGTATGTATTGGATTGTTTTGAATGTATTGATTTGTTATGAATATATGTATTTTTGTTATGACTACTACCAACCTTCTGTTTCAATTGCTCTGTATTAGCCAGTCTTTCTCTACAAATCTCCAGTTCTTTTTCATATTCTAGATTTTTATTTTGAACACTTTCAAGTTTCTGGGGAAAACACAATTAATGCATACATATATTTAAAGCAGGTCAAACATTTGGGATACCGTAATAGTATACATAGACATTTCAACTTCTATGGGCAATATAAAACACAAGGTACCCTAGGGAAAACTTGAAATAAATAGGAACAAAACCAGAGGTTTTCCCAACCCTGCGTTATATAATGCTTCAACCTAATCATGGTCCTCCCCATATAACTGTCTTAACTGTATATACCAGATTTTAAATTCATTTTTTTTTTAAAATTGAGAGAGGCTGTAGTGATAAATAGGTGAGAAAAAAGAGAAAAATTTAAAAATACTCCCTTTTACAGATAAAACATGTAAGGAAAAAAAAAACAATTTACAAATATTACCTCTTACATAAAGATAAAGAGGTGAGACAACATGACAATTTACAAATGCTACCTTTTACTAAAAGATAAAACAGGGGAGGAAAAACAATAACAATGTCCAAGCACTACCTTTTGCTGCTTGTCATAGTCCTCTTTCTGTGTGAGCAACAAGTTTTTCAACACTACACTGGATGCTTTTAAATCTTTGTTCTCTTTTAATGACGTCCTGTGGGTAAAACATGTTAGTTATTACACATTCAATTTTCTACCTAACATTCTGTCTATGGCCAGCCCAGGTCTGATTTAAACAGACAATGTCACCCAATGATAATAAGTGTTAGATATTAAAACAACTGCTTTGGTTTCCTTCTAATCTGAAGGTTAACCACACAGGAAGGGAGTAAACTCATTTAAATAGAGTGTGCATCAAAGTGGAGAATATTCGCATATTTTTACTGGTGCTATATTATATCGAAGCCAAAAGGTATCATGTGGATTATGGGACTGCTGTTTAGCGGCATGTAAAATGCAAAGCGTTAAAATTTTAGAAATGAAAAATGCAAGTGAAGTTCTTGCCTGAACTGAACCAGTTTCTCATACTCGTCAGACTCCTGGCTTTGTTTCAGTCTCCTGTTTTCCTCTTGAAGCAACTTAACGCTAACATTGAGATGCTGCATGGATTCTTCATACAATCTCACCTGGTCCAGCTGAAATATGGACATCTTATTATTTTTTTTTAAAGTTAAAGGGTGGACTTTGGGGAAAAAAATTAAAAAACAGGGTCACATAATCTAAAAGACAAGATGGTCACATGATCTAACTGACAAGATGGTGACATGATATTACAAGATGATGACACGATCTATCTACAAGATGTTGCATTGATCTAACTTAGCAAGATGGTGAGATGATCTAACTGACATGATCTGACTGAATTATGGTAAACTTCATACTAAAGTTTTTTGCTGCTCTTCCAACATGGCAACATTAGTGATCTTTCTCAAGAGTCTTCGGTTCCGTTTAGCATGGTTGGTGCATTTGTGTCGCTCATACATGAGCTGATTCTGTAACAGCATGCCCTGAGTTCTCAAAATGTTGACCTCATCAACTGGTGGGTTACCTGAATGCAAACAAGAAAATTAAATATTCAGAGTTGTTTCACATTTCATTTCTATAGCCATTTTGTACCTAAGATGGTCTGATACAGACAGCTTCAGCAGTTTTGTATTTAGATGGTCTAAGACAGAGAGCTACAGTATTTTTGTATCTAGCTGGTCTGATATACACAATTACAGCAAATTTGCATCTAAGATGGTCTGATACAGACAACTTAACAATTTTTTCTCTCAATCTGTTCCTAAGAGCTGTGGTGTACAAACTTAGGTTTCTATGAATTTTTTCCTAACAGCAATGGTGCCCAGACTTGGTTCTCTATGAATAATTTACAAAAAATAAGGTCCCAACCAATAAAAAGGTTGTGTGGACAGCTTACTTGGAGTGAATATTTATCAGCAATGTAGCATTTTGAGAATCTCTTATTAATGGATGTATGAATCATACTCTCATTCCTTGATATTAAAATTGGCTTTTTCTCTTGGTAATATTCTCTTCTTGAAGCACACATGGAGATATTTTGCATTGACTTAAATTGTAAATGTAAGTTTCAGAATGTCATGGAGTTGCATGGAAGGAAAAGTATGGGAAATACCATCTTGATAAACCATGTATGAATTGCAGTTATAGATATCTTCTTCTATATCTTAAGGGCCCACGATCAATTTATTGATCATTTTGGCTCCTATGCATGTAGATGGGATTTGCAATGTTTCTGTTACTGGTGGTGATGAGGAAATTATGCACTAGGGGTTTGAAGGCTTGAGGCAATAGACACAAATGTGTCTAGTGTTGTCGCCTCAACTGTTCCAACAATATATATGGACAAGGCAAACCTCCAAAGTGCGTCCAGTTGGTCGTCTCTTTGCAAGTCAATGGCAGCTTGGTCAGCTCCTTGTTATGGATGTCTGAGCCGAGTTGCAGGTGCCTGTCAAGTAGTTCAGGGGGAGACATCATGCTGAAGACAGGCACTTCGTTTCCTGTAAAAAAAATAAACAAAAAGTAGGTTATATTTTTTGTTGTAAAAAATCGAATAATCTACAAAAATTATTTTATCTGTTTATCATTTTTACTCATAACTAATCTAAAATTAAAACTTGGCACACTAAAACACTAGAAAAAAATTTTTTTTGGATAAAAATGTACAGGTCCCGACTAGCAAAGATAGAAAAGATTACCTTTGTAAGTTGTTAAAGTGGTACCTTCCCAAAACAGGGCTTGGTTGGGGGTGACGACAAGTTGCTGGTGGCAGCTGCTGCAGATGGCCAGCTTGGATGGTGCTAGCATGTACTGAAAGACAGGGTTGATGTAGAGAGGGCCAGAAGCCACAACAATTCCGCCCTCCTGCTTTGTGCTCTCCTGGAGACGATGGTCTGTAGAATGACCTGCAAGCAATATTGTCTCATACATTTGATCTGTTGAAGGAGAAATGATAAACACTATCAAAATAAATGATTCACCATTTCGTGTTCAAGGAATTTGAACAGTCTCATGGTCTAGGGGAATTCGATAGGGTACTAACACAGGTAGATTTTAGACACACTATTGGCTAAAAATGAAGACAATCAGTGCTCTCATATAAAGGTACTTTTCTTTAAAGGAAATAACATGAATAAATACACACAAAATTCTTCACTATCCCTAAACCTCACAATGATATTAAAGCCCTGGCACAATCCTAAGTTCCTGGAATAAATATGACACACAATTAGCACTTGAATTTTACAACTATTTCACTAGCTGAAGGTGCCTATCTAATCTGTACTAAGCTAATCATGCAGCTATGCTCATCTTGTCTCTCAGGGTCATTCTTTCTAAGAGAATAGACCCCGTTACATAAGATTGATGTAGCGTTAGTGACCCTCTTAATAAACACACACCCTCATGCAATCCAGGGTCAGCTACAGACCCTGTAGACAATAATTATTACTCTAGTGCACGTCGGGCTTGTGGCGCTGGTCAGTAACTGTGTTTATCACACCACTTGTCACTCTTCCCTGGAAGGTATGGACTTCTGAAAATTTCAGAGGTCATGGGAATAAGTAAACCAAAAGGCACTAGCATGTAGCAGGGATGAGTAGGATTGAGTAAATATTGCTACCAGTGGGAGGTGGGGGACAAGTTGAGGAAGTAACCCTTGCACTATCCACCAGTGGAATGTCTTACAGTTTTCACCATTTTTTCTGAAATGTGATTGAAAATATCTAAGCAGCATTGTCAGATCTGTTGTTAGTTCAATTTAAAAGTTTTAACAGAGTTGTATGGATATGAGGTTGTCTTACTATTAACAACTGGACTGAATTATTCATGACTAAAGACAAACAAACGATTCCGTTGTATTGTTCTTTATTATATAAAAGATAAAAAATGATCAAACCCCAATCTCCTGATTACATTTCCTGTATCAGATGAGGAAACCTTGGAATTAATTTGAGCGGCTTCATCAATCAGAGCATGGCGCAAGTGTTGATGGGGCTAGTGTTGATGGGGCTAGTTTTGATGGGGCAAGTGTTGATGGGGCAAGTGTTGATGGCGCAAGTGTTGATGGGGCAAGTGTTGATGGGGCAAGTGTTGATGGGGCAAGTGTTGATGGCGCAAGTGTTGATGGGGCAAGTGTTGATGGCGCAAGTGTTGATGGCGCAAGTGTTGATGGCGCAAGTGTTGATGGCGCAAGTGTTGCAAAATTTGTAAGAGACATTCACATGTCAATTAAAGAAGGAACTTGCACAAATGAAAATTTTAGGCCTAGAAAGGAAATTCTATCTCTATTAAGAAACATCAAATAGACTTACTGACAATAGTGAAACAATCCTGTCACTTTAACACTGTCAAATAAACACTGAAAACTTGCTGTTTTGGATTTAAAATTAAACAAATCCAGACATTTTAAAAATGGAAAAGATGGAAGTATTTAGAATGGTGATAATTTATTGAAAAAAGGATTAAAATAATAAATGAGAATCATTTAGAATTTTCTGTTATTTTGTACAGGTTCTCTGAGAATTATACACAGATTTATATGTTAACACGGGTGTTTTGGGACTTTTTGTACAGGTTCTCTGAGACTTATACACAAATTTGTATGTTAGCACAGGTGTTTTGGGACTTTTTGTACAGGTTTTCTGAGACTTATACACAAATGTGTATGTTAGCACAGGTGTTTTGGGACTTTTTGTACAGGTTTTGATTTTGCAGGTTGGAATGTATGCTTTCCAGGCCACCTCATCGGTGTTCATTGCCCTAATGGCAAGTGTAATCATTATTTCCCTGACCAAATCACAGAACAAATCCAATCACCTGACAAGGCCTGCGAGAAGTCGTCCCCACCATTGTGCAGCTCAGCTCCCTCTATCATGCTGATCTGTCGACCAAGACATTTGGAGATGCAGTGCACACCGGCGGAGGCTTGCTTCTTACTTCCCTTAACCCCGTGCTTCTCCGCGGCAGAGAGCAGCGGCTGGAGGTTTTGGCGTTTTAAAGGTGGACAAGATCTAGGGCGGCAGGCACGGTAGTGGGGGACCCCAAGGGTGGGAGGAGGGGCATCAAAGTCAGAGGAGGAGTTGGAGGTAAGGCTGTTGAAACGAATCCTATTCACCTTTTTCATGAACTGAAAAATAAATGTTAGTCAAGAAATAAAATAAGAGAAAACATATTTGGTTATCAATAAATTCATTTAACCCGAAAGTCCTAGGACTGGTAACAAAAAAACACAAAAATTCATTCTTTCCACACTAAATTCATAGAACTGGTAATGGCAAACACATTAGTACATCAAAATAATTCACTCAACACTTAAGTCCTAGAACATCAAAAAGACACATGACATAAACTCTGCACCTGTCTGACAGATTCTGCTGTTACATCAGTCTGTGAGGTCAATGTCGAAACAGATGAAGAAGGGCTGCTCTTGTCATCAAATCTGTCATCCTTTTCTGTGATCTCAGCCACTTCAAGATCTAGGGTATCTGTATCAAACATTAAAACATATTATGCTTTACTCTGTTTATTAAAGTTGTTATAACTTTAAAATATTTAAACATTTTAAAAATAAATTTTTGTTGCACACCATTTATTTTCAAGAGAGCATTGGCCTTTGGATATATAAGGAGCTCCAAGTTGTGATGTGGAAAAATTTAAACTATCAACTTTGAATGCAGGGAACAAACCCAAAAAGTGGCAGGGGGCCTCAAAAGAAAAATGGATGGCTTGTTTTTGTATGTCCTTTCTAAAAATTTTGTGATGACTATCTCTCCCCTGGCCTCATTGGTTGACTGAATAAAATCTAAACTATTTCTCATTGTTTTCATTGATAAGTTTAAGAAGGTTTAAACTATATTTCATTTTTTTTATTGGATATTTGAAGAACATTAACACATTGTTTTTAGTAGTTACTTTAAAGAAAGTTTTACCTGAATCAGGCGTTGGCAAGCTGTTGATTACTTGTGGCAAGTATTCCACTGGTAAGGCAAGGGTCACAACCTCTCCCTTAGGCTTGTGTTGTTGAATTTTAGACAGTGACCTAGTTGTATCTCCTGTCTTTGGTAAATTAGGTCTCTCTTCCTTGAGCTGTGAACAAATCGTCAATGAGTTGAGAAAAGGCATGAACAAAATGTTAATCAACAATTTTTGTAGGCAAACACCATAAAAATTAGAGTGGGGAGGAATTATTTCTATAAAATCTAACAATTAAACTTACTTCGTTCTTGTCACTCTCATCATCCGTTTGATTGAAATGCAAAATTCTCATCGCAGGACTATTGGATTGCGGAGGAGGTAAAAAAGCGCTTGTCCTAGAGCTGTAAAAAATTAATGTGTTTAATGTAAACAAAATATTTAAAAAATAGGTGGTTTTTTGTTAAAATCATCATAAGTTTAAGGAAAGATAATTTCAAGTTTTGTTTAGAGGGTTAGTTTCTGTTTTTCTTGATTTTATGCAACATTTCATTTTTTATTTAAACTATTTAGCATGCATTTTCATTGCTTATGTTGTAAAGTTTTGCTAGCCCAGCAGGTGTCATCTAGGACCACAATAAATTATGAAATATCACAATAGACAGACCACAAGTGATTTAAGTTAAGTGTCTGAATTAATTTAATGAAGACGGTTAGCAAGAATATGTGAACATTACCTAAATGAAGATGCTGAGAAATGTTAACAGAAAATTACCGCCAGGAAGAAGGGTAGACAGTTGAGAGAAAATTACCTTCAGGAAGAAGGGTAAACATTTGAGAGAAAACTACCTTGATGAAGAAGGATAGACAGTTGAAAGAAAACTACATTGATGAAGAAGGGTACAGAAGTTAAGTGTAATTTACCTAAATGAAGAAGAATCATTGGGTGTTCCAGGTGAGTTAATCATGTAAGAGCCTGGTGTGACCGGCGTTGTTTGATGTGGCACAGAGGACAAAACCTTAGGAACAACCACCGCCGGTTTCTTGCTGTCAGAGGATGAGCGCACATGTTGAAAAGCTCCTTTGCTGCCGCTGCAACTTTGTGGGGTCTGGAAATGTTATAAATCAAGCTTGTGAAAATAAAGCAATCATCTTCCTCTACTGCTAGTAAATGCAAAGAATGGAAAGTGTTAACTTATTTTCTCTTCTTCTTCTATATTTTGAGGGCCCATGATCAATGTATTGATCATTCTGGCTCCTATGTTTGTAGAGGTGTTCGCGATGTAACTGTGCATGGTTTAGAAGAGGATACTTTACTGGTTGCAAGGGCTACTCAGCAATGTTATTAAGAACTTAGGGTTGGAAGGGAGGAGGCAATAGACGCAAATGTGTCAAGTGTAGTCGGCTCAACTTTTGCTTTTGAAAGAGTCACAACCAAATGTCCAAAACATGAGGGCTACATTTACACGGTTAAGATTTTTAAAAAAAAATTTAAGTTATATTATTGAACAAATAATAAGATTGCCACATTTGTTAACTTTTTAATTATAACTAAAACTTTTCTCTTCACTAAAGACAAACAATAAAAAAACAAGATAAATTTTAAAAAAAGAACCTTCACTTATATATATCTATTAAGGTAATTTCAATATTACTTAGAATTCCAACACAAAAAAAACAACATACCTTTTCTCCATCCTCACACTGGGATGGTGTTTGAAGTCTGGGGGTCATCTCAGGAGTGTCGGAAGCACCACCTGTCCAGCATCAATAACCAGATCAGTAATCTTTTTTTTTAAAATTATCTTAACAACAAGCCATGATGGCACACAATGAAAGAATCAGAGTTGTTGTTTAATTTTTTTAACCCCCTTGCAAATTATCAATTTGGCAGAACTGAATTTGAAACAGGGAGTTGGAATAAGACACACACCATAGGAAGTCTCTAAGTGAGTGGGTTGATCGAACACCCTGGACTGATTAGATTGTTTTTCATACTTTGCTGACGAGACATTAATGAGCTGGCTCAGTCTCTTTCTTTCTAAAAATCTTATTTAAAAACACAAGTTCCGCAAATAAAAATTGGAGGCCAAGAAGAGAAATTCTACCTCTATTATGAAATAAATCAAGCCTACAACTAGGCCTAAAGGTTGAATGCCTACAACAAGGCCTAAAGGTTGAATGCCTAAAACAAGGCCTAAAGGTTGAATGCCTAAAATAAGTCCTAAAGGTTGCATGCCTAAAACAAGGCCTAAAGGTTAAATGCCTACAACAAGGCCTAAAGGTTAACAATCATGTCAGTCTTACAGTGTAAAATACACACTGAAACTTGTTCTTTTAAGATTTTAAACAAATCCAGACATAATAAAAAAAACCTTCATACCAAAGTTTTTCTTATAAATCCTTTATAAAATGTAACATTGAGCAATGGTGAGGCTGAACATTCGACAATACATGCATACAAGTAACGCACTCTATAAGAATCCTAATTAGTACTTCCCCACCTTAATGCTCGCAAAAGCACATTTTTTTCAAGCCCCTAACTATATTAATATTCGAATGACCCACCCGCTTTTACACTACCGGTATAGATTTATTTCACCAACTATTTCAGGAAAACAAAAGAAAATATTATGCAACAAAACACTTGTGATAGTTTGTTTTTTTAAAGAATCCCATTTAGTGCAGTTATCTGAAATTATATTTTATCTTCCCATTGAAAACAGGAAAAACTGATTTTTTGAGGTTGGGGCTGAAAATTTGAAAGAATGTGTTTTCCTCGACAACAAGTCTATGTTTCAGCTCGATAGGTTGATAAGAAGTGAGTCAATTGGCCGTCAGAAGATTTTGCTAGTCTGCCACCCAGCCACGAACAAAAGCAAAGTAAATATAAAGGATTTAAAAAGAGCAAGGATAGAAAAAAGGTAATAACAATGGAAAATAATAATTATTTCAACTTTTCATTTTTGTGAACAGGTTTTTTTGCAGGTTTACATTTATGGCTATGTATGCATACTTGATTAAAGTAGGGTAAAGACTAAAATGATTACAGTTAAATTCTTCCTTGGGTATTATTTACTAACTAGCCCTGGTCACAACCAGCCAAAGAAATTTCATACCTGTGTTAGTAACTGGGTCCAAGAAGCTGGCTGCTGGTGTTGTCCTCTGTGACGATGGAGGTGTTGACAAGCCAATGAGCACAGACGGACTCTCCCCAAAACAGCTGGGATCCAGACTGGTCACATGAAGTGAGTTGACTGAGTCTTGAGGGTCTTGAATGGGTTTGATCAATGTTGGTGTAGTGTACTGCCTCTCACCTGATTAAGTACAGCAAATAGAGTTTTGTACTGTACTGCCTTGATGGATGGGTTCACTACTCAAGTTGCAGGTACAGAAAAGTGGGTTCTGTTATTTTAGACTTTTTGTCATGTTTGAATTGCGGCTCCAGAAAAGTGGGTTGTTATCTTAGACTTTTTGTCATGTTTGAGTGACGGGGTCCAGAAAAGTGGTGTTTGTTATTTTAGACTTTTTGTATGTTTGATTTGCGGGGTCCAGAAAAGTGGGGTTTGTTATTTTAGACTTTTTGTATGTTTGAGTTACAGGGTCCAGAAAAATGGGGTTTGTTATTTCAGACTTTTTGTCATGTTTGAGTTGCGGCTCCAGAAAAGTGGGGTGTTATCTTAGACTTTTTGTCATGTTTGAGTTACGGGGTCCAGAAAAGTGGTGTTTGTTATTTTAGACTTTTTGTATGTTTGATTTGCGGGGTCCAGAAAAGTGGGGTTTGTTATTTTAGAATTTTTGTATGTTTGAGTTGCAGGGTCCAGAAAAGTTGGGTTTGTTATTTTAGACTTTTTGTATGTTTGAGTTGCGGGGTCCAGAAAAGTGGGGTTTGTTATTTTAGACTTTTTGTATGTTTGAGTTGCAGGGTCCAGAAAAGTGGAGTTTATTATTTTAGACTTTTTGTATGTTTGAGTTACGGGGTCCAGAAAAGTGAGGTCTGTTATTTTAGAGTTTTTGTCTTGTTGCAGAAAAGTGGGTTACATTTATTTAGACTTTTTGTCATGTTTGTCCTCACCATAAATACATTTTCTTGTTGTTACAAAATAATTTTTTTAATATTCCATTTATTGCCTAATCTGCATTCATTTCTTTACAAGTTTAAAAGCATGCCTATTATTAAGCTTGTTGTAAGGTATGAAACTGCCTACATTTTCTAATAATTTTACTATTATTATGAGCACAGAAAAATGTTCAAAAAAGCGTTAATTTCTCCAGTACATTTATCTACTGATGCTAATAAGCCTCTGATATTATTGTACCACACTGGATATTTTTCTAGGACAAATTTCCAATGCACCATTGGTTTCTACCAAGACTTTAATAGTGTTCTCATCACGGATGTACCTGGGCGCCCTTGAAGGCAAAATACTTTAATAGTGTTCTAATCACCTGATGTACCTGGGCGCTCTTGAAGGCAAAAAGACCGCTTGACTGACCCTTCCCTATATCACCTAATGTTCTGAGATATTTCTGGGTCAGAGATGCCACAGCCTAGCTGCCCACCTTTTGTACATTTTGGTGGGTGTTTAGTTCTGTTATTCTTAGGCCAGCTGATTGTATCAATGTAACCAACTGTAAGTAGGAAATTAATGTCCTCTGGACTTAGGAGCCATTCATTATAATTTTATGATTAAACAGCTTCTGCACTTAGGAACTATTCATTTAATTGTGGTGATTCATATTTCCTGAAATTCAATTTTGGAATTGTGATTTAGATTATTTATAGTATTTGAACTAAGGAATTGTGATTTGTGTTCCATGAGCTAAGATTAATTTGATTATATTAGTGTTACTGGTGTTCTCTGAGCTTAGTTAGATCTATTGATTATATTAGTGTGACTGGTGTTCTCTGAGTTTAGATCTATTGATTATATTAGTATGACTGGTGTTCTCTGAGCTTAGATCTATTGGTTATATTTGTGTGACTGGTGTTCTCTGAGTTTAGATCTAGTGATTATATTTGTGTGATTCATGTTTTCTTCTTCATACTTCTTATGAAGGTAATTTCTAATGAATTTTATTGTAAATCAACACAATCAACGTAACAACATGCCATTTAGTGGTTGTTTACTATAGAGTAAAACTCACCAAGAAACCAGAAATCACTTGGCGGATTTATGCAGATAATGAATTAAAAAAGGCGGGACTATTTTTGTCAGACATGTTGGCGAGAATGTAAAATTAAAGAGTGATCTTGGAAAGTTCAAAGAAGGAGGTTGTATGAATCTAGTGTCTGCGGACACTTATATAATTTGAGTCATCATATACTTTATTTAGTGAATTATTACTGATTCTTTATTTCACATTGATTCTATGAGCTGTATTCAAGTATTAGCATGTAAAGTTATTGAAGTAATATAGAGGTATGTGTGAAGTCCTTGACTTGACAACTTGATTGAGCAGGTGATGCTGTATGGGACAATAATATAGATTACCTTGACCCAATGAGAAGAAGAAAGGTTACATGAATGTCAGATGTTACATTAATGTCAGATGTTACATTAATGCCAGATGCTACATTGGTGACAAAAGATTAAAGTTTTGACTTTTACCTCATTGTTCTCTCACTAGTTATTCTAGTGTGTAAATAAATTGGTTGTTCTATAAACCTTGCATTTTGTATTTCTTCTTAAGAACTAGACTTGTTTGTCTCTTCTTTGGTATATGCATATATATAATTGGATATGAAGAAATAATATCCTTTTCCTTTTATATATAAGTGGAAAAGGAAATCATTTGTGGGAGTTTAAAGAGTGAATATATGGCCAGTGTGCTACCTTGAGGCTCACAACTCTGGTGGTTGAGCAGATGTAGTTTGTGGGCAGACTGCATTGACTGGAAAACTGGCATGTGTGAGCCTTCCCATGATCCCTCGATGAGGTCCAATGACAGCTTGGAACAGTAAACAACTATATCTTGTGTCTCGTGGTTTTTCCATCTATAGCGAAACAAAAATTTATAGAAATCACAAAGTGAAGCCCTTGTTATATTATTTATTCATACAGCTTTACATCATATTTATCTGAGACTAGAAATTATCTGAAATGAGAAATTATCTGAAATGAGAAATTATCTGAGATGTGAAATTATCTGAGATGTGAAATTATCTGAGATGTTAAATTATCTGACACTTTAAATTATCCCAGGTGTGAAATTATCTTACACATTAAATAATATGAGAAATAAATCATCTGAGACATTAAATCTTCTAAGAGGTTAACTGCAGCTTTAGAAAATACTTATAATTTTAAAGACAAGATAATTATTTATTTGTGCCATATAGCAATTTATGCCTCAGTAAAAAATTTGTTTATCAATGTTTATTCTTTATTTTCTTTCATTAATATTATCTATTGGGTGCTAGCTAAAAATATAAAGAACAAAAATGCTGCATAAGAAGCATGTAGAAAAGCCAAAGTAATATTTCTTTCTTTAAATTCAAGCAACAGTTTTGGATCACTGGATCATATGATGGGGTACGGTGACCACACACCTGCTCATTGAGGTCTCTGTCTCCTTTTGCCCCATGACAAGTCTTGGATGCAGCCGAACCCTCTCCAACATTGGCTGTATTGTATAAATGACACACAGGACATTAGCTATAGCAATAAAAGTGGCGAAAGAATAAAATATCGTGCAGAAAAGAAATAAAACTCACTGAGAAAATGTGTTCACAAAAAATGAAAAAAAAGTTCAAGAATATTTTAAAGGGGTTCTCAAAAAAAAAAAAAAAAAAAAAAAAAAAAAAAAAAGAAAAAAAAAAAAAGACAAAAAAAAAAAAAAAAAAAAAAAAAAAAAAAAAAAACAAAAAAAAAAAAAGGAAAAAAAAAAAAAAAAAAAAAAAAAAAAAAAATTTTAAAAGGGTTAAAAAAAAAAAAAAAAAAAAAAAAAAAAAAAAAATGTTTAAGGGGGGGAGGGAGGTGTGCTGTACACTATCCCTCAGACACCATTTGGGGCCAGATTATAGTTTGAAAAAAGAAAGAAAGAATTTCAATGCAAGCAGCACATATTTAAAAAAAAAACAGGAACAAAATTAAAACAAATATTTTAATTAACATAAACTTAATATAGTATTTCAATAAGATCTATAAGCCTGCTTTTGGCCAATAAAATTGTCAATGTGCAGGTATCTGTACAGTTAATGGCCAGCTTAATAACTCCTGGCAGGCCAGATCTGGCACAGCCCCAGTTTGCAGGGCCCTGATGAAGTGCATGACACTATATGAAGTGTACCATGACAGTTGGTATATGTTCAGTAAAACATGCTTCACTAGCTATTAAATGGATGTTAAGCGGATTGATTGTTCAGTAGGCTGAGTAACATTTAGTCCTAGAAAAAAAGGGATTATTTTGTAAATTTTGTAAGAAAATTATCCAACACTGATTCATGAATGACAATTGATGGGCTTACAATAGAAAATGTGTTAATCATAAGCTTTAAAACTGTGTTTCCCAAATTCAAGGCAATGAAAGCAAAATTACGGGGTCGCCAAAAGAAGAACATAACGGTTTCAAAATTATTGGTAATTTTGATTTCTCATAAGCAAATGCTTTATTTTAATACATGAAAACTTTGTGGCAATTCATATCTTTTGCATGTTACCTATGGGCCACCATAGGCATTAAAATGTTAGTGAGTCACAAAGGAGAAGTATAAAAATAAGAGGTCAAGGAAGGATGTGGTGAAGGAGAAGGAGGGCAATAAGGCATGTGCTGGAGGGAAAGGAGGACAAGAAAGGATGTGGTGGAGGAGGGCAAGGAAGGATGTGGTGGAAGTAAAGGAAGAAGTGGTGGAAGGGTGTGTTGGAGGGATAGGAAGGATGTGATAGAGGGCAAGGAAGGATGTGTTGAAGAATCAAGAATATATGTAATGGGCAAGGAAGGGGTTAAGTTTATACAAATAAGTGGATATGACAGATTGGTAAGTGGATAGATAGTTAGAGGAGAATGAGTTGGAGGAAAGAGTGGGAGACAGATATTGTTTAGTGAGAAGATTAATGTGGTTTGAAATAGGGGAGATTAATTGCGAAGATGATTTCTATTTTTAAAAAATGGGGCACACAAATTTCACCACCATGTTTTTTAATTATCATCATTCTTTGTGTTGCCACAAACATCTTGTCAGAAACAGTTATACTTAGCCAAGTGATTTAATTTAGTCAACTATGGATTGGACATAATTTTGTTTGGCTGGGAAAAAAAGGTGCTCTAAAACGTATTGGTGCAAGAGAGGGGGTATAAATTTTTACTTTTTTGTGTATGCAATATATGGAAAGTTTTTAAACTGTTGAGCAAGGACAAGAAAATAAACGTAATCATATTGAGCCAGTGGTCCATACTTGAGCTGACATAAATTGACAACACAAGACAAAAGCTCAAATGGCTCACCAAAACCAACTCCTCATAGGCATGGCTGTGCTCTCTCAGGCAATAAAACTTGTTCAAGAAAGCCACAAAGGTGCATGGGTACATGCCATAAAGCCTGTTGAAGAGACTGTTGAGTCCAACTTGGATGTGAAGTATGTAAGCCTCAGACACAATGGCTGAAATTGGAATAGTGTAATATATTTTTGTTACAACGGTCATAGAATAATAATAGTCTACCCTCTGTAAAAATAAATATATGGACTTTTAGATGATGTAAGAACCAGGGCTCCAGACTTAGTCAGTATGCCATTTAAGATGGTGCATATAAAGTTTTGGATTCCAGTTTAACAGATTAAGGGGGGACAGAATCCATATTTCTGATGTATTTTAGAAATAAAGATTCATTTTCATTTTCCCCACACATTAGTGGAAGGCCGATATAGATTATGCACATCAATATACGAGTTTATAAAAGTAAGGAATTTTGGGGTTGGTATTTTGCTATCTTTGTTGGTTAGTTTGATTTCTTTATGCGACTTGAACTAAGACATCAAATGTAACAACAACACAAAGACGGATTACCACAGAAAAGCACAGGATGTTATGAAATGATTAAGGAATAATTATTCTTTTTCAAACCTGGTTTTTTGCAGCAGAAGAGTGTGAGGCGACCAAAGATTTCAAATATGGTTGGCAAATATGGACCCATACTGACGGGGACTGATGGCAGCAATATGACGACAATCATTAAAGAAGTCATAATGTTCAGAGAGTCAATTTCAGTCTGTGGACGTTAAACAAATATAATTTAAGAGGTTTCACCTATTATTTATAGGTAGAGGAATCAAGCAAATGAGGAAAAATCATGTTTTATTTTGTGGCATGGTAGGGGTTTTTGGTTGCAGCTCGGATGCAGCATATTTTGTGGCATGTTCAAATTGCTGGGGATTTTTGGTTGCAGCTCAGATGCAGCATATTTTGTGGCATGTTTAAATTGCTGGGGATTTTTGGTTGCAGCTCAGATGCAGCATATTTTGTGGCATGTTCAAATTGCTGGGGATTTTTGGTTGCAGCTTAGATGCAGCATATTTTGTGGCACGTTTAAATTGCTGGGGTTTTTGCTCAGATGCAGCATATTTTGAGGCAAGTTTAAATTGCTGGGGTTTTTGGTTGCAGCATGCTGGAGCAGATAAAAAAAACAATAGCAGACACCATTCAAACCAAATATTATTTTTATGGGGTGGGGGATGGCTGAAGTAAGTATCTTTCACTCCCATCTGTGAGCACAAAACAGTTGAATTCTTAATAAAATCAATACCTTCAAATTTTTCAGAATAAAACCAAAAAGTGGGCTTTCAAGGATCAGATGACACCATGGCAGCTCCCTGTAAACCAGATACAGAAGGAGCTGAAGTGCTGCTTGTTTATGTTCTGATGTCTTTATACCATCAAACAACTTGTCCATTAAAGCCTGTTGAAAATAACATTTTTTTATAAAAAACTTACAGCAGTCATAAAAATATTATTCATTGTATTGATACTGGTACATAACTACAAAATGTATTGGTACTGATACATTATTATTTGATATAGGTTAAAATGTCTAAATATCCCTTAAATTTTGAGGAATGACCTATTCCCTAAATTACTATTATGGCAAGAGACGTTTTAGAACCTTTGAAACAAACTGGAGATTGAAAAGTTGAGAATAGAGCTGCAATGAACTGTCTGCATTACAACAAAGGACATTAACAGCAAGAAATACAGCTCTTGTAGTTTGTTACTTGAGTAATACAACATGAAGAGATGTTCTATCACCTAGATTAAATCTATAGAAAAAAAATACTGAATACTTTTTTAAACTTTATGATTGATTTAAATCAAAAATCAGTAATGGATCAATTAGGGAGAAGTGATCAGTTCATTAAAAATTTATTTGCTTACCTTGGCCTGCATATCGCGAAGCTCAGCTAGAATTTCTTGGACATTGTTGGATGGATTCCGGAGGTAATAATCGACCAACACATGAATCAACCACGTTTCCTTTGCTAATTTATAAAAGAATTTGTAACATATAATTTCAAACAGCACAAGTATGTACATAAACAAACACACTTCTTTTTAGTATTAACAAAAGAAATGAAAATGATTTAGTAACTGATATTTGTTCTTTTTACTAACAAAACTAATAGCTTTTTTAAAACATAAATAAGATTAACAGATTATTTAATTATAAATATAATTGCATATTATTTATTTATTTGTAATATCAATTAATTATTTTATAAAAAATTAAGCCCTGGATGAATGTTGTGGATTTTTTAATGAAATGACATTGGATTTATTGACCATTTACTGTTTATATTAGCGCACAGGATGGTGAATACGAATGAACCAGGAATTATATTGACTACACCAGTATCCCATGCTAGTAGCAGATATTAAAAAGGACAGGCTGATTTGGGCGGTATACTTAGAAAGAATGCCAAATAACAGAGGAGTGACGAGGTTACACCACCTAACCCCAGAGGAAAATAGCTCAAAGGCAGACCTAGGATTAAATTGATAGATGATGTGGGAAAATATCTACAGCAGCTGCAAATCCAAGCACGGGAAAGAAAGGCATCAATTTGGTCTGAGTGGAAGGAAGTGTTGAGGCAGGCCAAAGCCCACACAGGCTGTAGTGCCTCCATGGATAGACTAGGGAATGGGTCACACTTTATTTACTAAATTTTAAAATTTTAATCAGGGTTGCGACCTATTAACTCGACATAAATTTCACGTACTGGGGTTCAGTGTGGACAGATAGTTTTAATAAATGCCGAAGAATAATTTTCTGCCTTGCTTGCACAAGGGCACGGGGCAATCCATTTTTAAAACTTTTATTAAAGATCTCATAGTTTATCATTATTGCTTTTCAGTTTTCAAGTTGCTATGTAAATCTTTTGTCTGTTTAATAAACATTAGTTATATTTACATTAAAAAAAGGCAGGGTAACTCCTTAAACTAAGAGTGCAACCTATCCGGAATCGCATGTACCCAATTTGACAACCCTAAACTAAGTGTCCGATCTATCCATTAGTGTGAGTATTTTAGCAGGAGTGAATGCTACAGTTCAAACTTTTGTCCTTATAAATTTGACAGAGAAAGATTTCGCTTTCTTTCTTCAACCCCCACCCCCCCCACCCCCCCCCCCCACCCCCGATATTCCTAGAATACTCCACTTTTTATCTCCATTTTAAAAATCAGATTTAAATATTTTGCAGGTAAAATGAGCTAACATACTTGAGTGGAGATTTTCTAAGATAATTGCTCGAATTTCCAGTGCTGTATCAGCAGAATCTAATAACTTGCAAATGTTGTCCATCTGGAGTGTATTTCCACCTCCAGTTGCCATGGTCTGAATTACTTCACTTGATGTCAGTCAGCTTCAATATTAAAGAAAAAAATCAGTCAAAGAGCAATGTTCAGACTAATAATCAATGATTAATACTAAATACATATGCAGATCATTTTTAAGAAAGTCAAAACTAGAGTATGTCCAATTCTAACTTAACTGAAATGTGATTTTTATAATTATCAAGAGAAATTAGTATGACTTGCAATTTTGTAAACAAAAAGAACCAAAAACAATGTATGAGTCTGTGTTATTTTTTTCCCCCCTGGTCCGCTTACAAAGCCTATCTGCTCCACTTGAGCAATTAATACATGTGTGTTTAGCTTTAAAATATAGGATAAAAGAATAAGATTTCTTCCATGGACTTGAAAAATTCAATTTTTGTCACACATCTATTATGTATATGCTCCCTACCATAATTTTCATATTATAACTTAATTTATAATATAGATATTATAATGTCTTATTTTTTAGTCTTTGCATGACATAGACATAGAAATATCTTTAATGAGTTCATGATTTTCCAAAGAAATTATATATATATATATATAAAATTATAAAATATAATGATTCATTGTGACACACTAAATACCGTATTTTATGAACTATAAGACACTACAGACCATAAGACGCACCTTAATTTTTAAGCAATTTTAAAAAAAAAAAACATTGAACTAATTTCGAGTATAAGACGCACCTGACTTTTGGAGGAAATTTTTTTGAAGAAAAAAGTGCGTCTTATAGTCTGTAAAATCCGGTTTTATCCATAGGCATACTTCATTAAATATAGCAATAATAGCCATCACACCACTATCTAGCAGTGAGATAAACTTGGAGCGCTTGTTAAATTTGGACTAGTCTAATGAAACGATTCTTTATACATAAAAATAATATAAACAATGTGGGCTAGATGATGTAACATATATTTTCTCTATTACCAACATGTACCAAACTTGATATCATTAAGACAAGTCTGCTTGGGAAGGATTACCAGTATCCATTTAATGTCAACTGTGGTGTCATCAGTATGAAAAATATTAATTTTAACTACCACTGATAAACTACCACAAATGACATCCGAAAAGCATTTAGTCTAAAGGGACCTGGTTCGAATATTGAATAGTGAATAGATGGTCGCTTTACTTTAGACTAAACTTTAGACTAAATGAAATGCTGTTTGGGTGTCATTTGTTGTAGTTTATTTTAGTTAAACTGAAGAAGTAAGTTTAAAATCATTTAGTCCATTCAATTATCTTTCATTTGATATCAAATTTTGTCTTACAAACCCAACAATAATATTTTAAATATTTTTTCATCCCAACCTCTCACTTCTGATACCCGGGTCTGAATAGTCGCAGCCAAAATTCATACACAACAACAAAATTATTCATTTAATATAACCCTCTAAGACTAATGTTGCGTTCAATTTTAATATACTATTTATGAAATAGAATGCTCAGTTTAGTTCCATACCATAAAATGTAGCACTAGAGTAACATGAACTAAGAGTTAGAGCAAGACTAAAAAATGTTCCAACACTTTTTTTTCATTTTTCTGTCTTTTGGTCCAATTAAAGGGAGTTTACTATATTTTTTAAAGAAAAATTTCCTTTAGAGTAGCTTGTATTATTAAAATACATAAGATCAGTGGAAGACGACGTTCCGTCTTCTTTACTTTCAGAATAATTTTATTCAAATCAGTCCCCGAATAGCGAAATAATAAAGAATGGAATAAATTAAATATGTCATTTTTTTTTTAAATTAGTTAATTTATTCTCAATATAAAGAATATCACACACACTCACAAACTCCCCACTCATCCCCCGTGCCAGTAAAAGTTTGTTAAGTTGACAACTTAGACTACTATGACTCTACACTCTACAATTACACTGGTGACTGGACGTATAAAATTAAAATATCTAACCAATTTTAAATAATACATTTTAATAGTCCATGATAATAGGTATCATTTATTTTATAGTGTTCATTCGTCTTACTCTAAATATATATAAATTTATGTGCAAGTAGTTAAAATTACATAAAATTAAACGAATTATTGCCATCTTGGCCTTGGTACTGTGTACTGTATAATAATAGATGTACACATATAAACTATTAAACATGGCACATTGGCCTATACTATATATATTACTCTGATGTTACATTTATTTAATCACATTAAATAGTGGTATTAGAAAGAAAAGTAAGCTGCCATTAATTTAACCAAACCTTGTCACTTATTGATCGAAAATGTTAAAGGCATTAATATATTTTACGGATAGTAATTGGAATGTAGTAGGGCCTACAACCATTTTTCCAGTGAAATATTGAAGATCTAATTAATTTTGGAAATTCGTTTATTCACTCACTTTAAAAAAAAATGTAGTAAAG